CTCTCTCTCCTTCCCTCTCTCTTTCTCCTCTCTTTCTCTTTCCTCTCTCTTTCTCTCTCTCCCTTTCCTCTCTCCCTCCCTCTCTTTCTCTTTCCTCTCTCCCTCTTTCTCTTTCCTTTCTCTCTTTCCACTCTCTCTCTCTCTCAGAGCGAGCAACTAAATTTCATTTTTGATGTGTGCCGTTGTGCCCACAGTAAAAAAAAATGACAATAAAGGTTATCTCTCTTATCTCATCTCTTCTCTCTCTCGACCTCCTTCCTCCCTTGCTCCCCGCTCTCTTTTGCAGAAAGCGTCCTCGTCCACCGCGGACAAGTCCTTCGCCGTGGGCATCATTGCCGAGACCGTCCAGGGCCTGGGCGGGGCCTCCAGCTCGTTCGTCCCCCACCTGCTGCCCTTGCTGATGGGGGCGGCCCGTGACGAGGACCAGGAAGTGCGCAGCAACGCCGTCTTCGGGCTGGGGGTCCTGACGGAACACGGCAAGGAAGCCATGTACGAGTATCCTTGTTGCCTTCCACGGTGGGGGGGGGGAGTCGCCGGTATGGTGAGTGGGAATGGCCTTGGCAAAACCGGGAAGGAAGCAGTTAGGTAAGAGACAGCCTAGCCGAGAGCTGCATAACGGACAGAGGAAGACACTGAGAAAGGATGTATCAGGGCATAAAAGAGAGACGGTGGCAGATTTACACCTTGGGACCTCCAGGATTCTGTTAATGTATTTCAAGTCCTCATTTAGCGACCGTTCAGAGTTACGACGGCACCGAAGAAGGCGACCGGAAACTTGTTTTTTCACACTTAACGACCGTTGCGGCATTCCCTGCGATCACGTGATCAAAATTCGGTCGCTTGGCCACCGGCTCCTGTTTATGTTGGGCTGCTTTGCGGTTGTACATTGAGGACTAGCGGTACGCTGCAGCTCATTTAATTGCCCTGGGAAGGAGCAGAGAAGAATACTTTCTCTACACGCGCAAACACACACCTACACAAAACACAAACACACACACACACCCCGTTTTCTTTCCTTAACCTCTTTTTAACCTGGCCAGACACTACCCCAAGATCCTGGCGCTTTTATCCAACCTCATTGCCCAGGAGCGCAACAACCGAGTGACCGACAACGTGTGTGGGGCTGTTGCGAGGATGCTGATGACCAATCCCGGCGGGATGCCTGTTGAACAGGTGCGACACAATTTTATGGGTCTGTGTGAGCGTGGAGGGGACCTCTGCAGGGCGACTGCCATGGGGAGAAACTTACAGCAGGTGCTATCCTGGCTAGTAATGTGGAATTAACGATCTGGTTTGTTTACTGTATTCAGGTGGTTTTTTCTTTAATCCTGGTTTTATTACTGTAGAAATAACTCAAGACAGCAAAAAAACCTCAGACTTCTTTCTTCTGTTTTCCCCATAAAAGCTACTCTGTAAGGTGGGTCGGGCTGAGAAAGAGGGACTGGCCCAAAGTCACCCAGCCGGCGTTCAGGCCTAAGACGGGACTAGAACTCACCACCTCCTGGTGATTGGCCCAAAGTCAACTAGCCAACTTTCAGGCCTAAGGCGGGACTAGAACTCACCGTCTCCTGGTGATTGGCCCAAAGTCATCCAGCTGGCTTTCAGGCCTAAGGCGGGACTAGAACTCACCGTCTCCTGGTGATTGGCCCAAAGTCATCCAGCTGGCTTTCAGGCCTATGGCGGGACTAGAACTCACCGTCTCCTGGTGATTGGTCCAAAGACATCCAGCCAGCTTTCATGCCTGAGGCGGGACTAGAACTCCCAGTCTCCTGGTGATTGGTCCAAAAACATTCAGCCAGCTTTCATGCCTAAGGCGGGACTAGAACACACCGTCTCCTGGTGATTGGCCCAAGGACACCCAGCCATCTTTTAGGCCTAAGGTGGGACTAGAACTCACCGTCTCCTGGTGATTGGTCCAAAGACATCCAGCCAGCTTTCATGCCTGAGGCGGGACTAGAACTCACCGCCTCCTGGTGATTGGCCCAAGGCCACCCAGCCACCTTTTATGCCTAAGGCGGGACTAGAACTTCCAGTCTCCTGGTGATTGGTCCAAAGTCACTCAGCTGGCTTCCATGCTGAAGGTGGAACTACAACTCCCATGCTCCTGATGATTCGCCCAAAGACACCCAGCCGGCTTTCATGCCTAAGGCAGGACTAGAACTCGTCATCTCCTGCTTTCTAGACCTGCACCTTAAGCACTGGCCAAAACTAGCCCTCTTATTTAAGCCAAGAAATACTAAACCTGCTGGCTGGGGGAATTCTGGGAGTTGAAGTCCACAAGTCTTAAAAGTTGCCAAATTTGGAGGATCCTGGCTTAGATCCTGAGGAAATGTCGTTTTGCTCGGGAAGGCGCCAAACCATGTTAGGAACCCTACAGGCTTGTGAACCTCTGACTCCTGGAGTTGCTGACTGTTGTCCGGCTTCGTCTCCGCAGGTTTTCCCCGTCCTGCTTCGCGCCCTGCCGCTGAGAGAGGACTTTGAGGAATACAAAACGGTCTACCGTTGCGTCGCGTTTATTTACCAAAACGACCCATCACAGGTGAGTCTCTGTCCGGCCAGGAAGGATTGGCTTCCGCTCAGGTTGGTTTGACCTTAGCTTGTCATCTCAGCTGTGCTTCGAAAAGGAAGCTTGAAACTCAGGCAAGTCCTCCACTTACGACGGCAGTTGAGCCCAGGATTTCCGTGGCTAAGTGAGAAAGTTGCTAAGTGAGTTTTGCCCCATTTTTAGGGGCACGGTTGTTAAGCGAAAACTTCCAGTGTTGGAGCATTCACAACTTCTAGTGGCAAGCTGTTCCACTGGTTAATTGTCCTCACTTCTTGGAAGTTTCTCCTTAGTTCTAGGTTGCTTCTCTCCTTGATTAGTTTCCGTCCTGCCTTCAGGCACTTTGGAGAATAGCTTGACTCCCTCTTCTTTGGGGCAGCCCCTGAGATACTGGAAGGCTGCTATCCTGTCCCCCCTCGTCCTTCTCTTCGTTAAACTAGACATCCCCAATTCCAGCAACCGTTCCTTATACTGTGTTTCCCTGAAAATAAGGCCGGGTCTTTTTTTCCCCCTTTTTTTTCCCCCTCCAAAAGAGGCACCAGGTCTTATTTTCGGGGTAGGCCTTACCTCACCTTCTGTTTTCTGTTGTTTTTTTTTCTCCCCACAAAAGGTGTTGCAACAGATTCCGGAGATCGTGCGAAGCAGTGGCCCTGTCCTGGGTTGCAAAAATCTGCCAACAGGTATGTCCCTTCAGAGTGGGCACCGTTTCCCCCGTCACGGCAGCCGATCTGTCTGTATTTCCTCCTTTTACGGAGTGTCTCTCTCCGGATGCGCGAAGGAGGCAGAAGTGGGCAGTGAAGGGGGCAGCTGGGCTGAATCCAGCAAGATGAAGCTGGAGCTGGGCCCCCATCGGAATAGAATGGAATAGAATGGAATACAGAATAAAGAATAGAATAGAATAGAATAAGAAATAGAATAAGGAATAGAATAGAATAGAATAGAATAGAATAGAATAGAATAGAATAGAATAAGGAATAGAATAGAATAGAATAGAATAGAATAGAATAGAATAAGAAATAGGATAGGATAGAATAGAATAGAATAGAATAGAATAAGAAATAGAATAAGATAGAATAGAATAGGAATAGGAATAGGAAGGATAGAATAGGAATAGAATAGGAATAGAAATAGAATAAGGAATAGAATAGAATAGAATAGAATAGAATAGAATAAGGAATAGAATAGAATAGAATAAATAGAATAGAATAGAATAAAAATAACAGAATAGGAATAGGAAGGATAGAATAGGAATAGGAATAGAATAGAATAAGGAATATAATAGAATAATAAAATACAGAATAGAGTAGAATAGAATAGAATAGAATAGAATAGAATAGAATAGAATAGAATAGAATAGGAGTCAGAAGACACCTTGGAGGTCATCTAGTCCAACCCCCTGCTCAGGCAGGAAACCCTATTCCATTCCAGACAAATGGTTGTCCAGTCTCTTCTTAAAACCTTCCTGTGTTGGAGCATTCACAATTTCTGGTGGCCAGTCATTCCACTGGTTATAAGTTACAGGCAGTCCTTGACCTACGAACGTAACGGAGCCCCACATTTTTGTTGCTAAGGGAAACATTTATTACGCTTATTTTGCCCCATTTTGAGACCTTTCGTGCCACCGTTGTTAAGCAGACCACATTAGGCTGTTAGGCTGTGATGGCCGGCTGGGGAATTCTGGGAGTTGAAGTCCACAAGTCTGAAAAGTTGACCGGGTTGGGGACCCTCGGACAGACACAGCTGTCCTCCGACAACATCCAATGGTGCCAGTAAATCTCTCTTAGCCAGTGGTTCTCAACCTTTTTAATGCCGCGACCCCAACCGGTTGTAAGTCGAGGACTAAACCGGTCGTAAGTCGAGGACTAAACCAGTCGTAAGTCGAGGACTACCCAACCGGTCGTAAGTCGAGGACTTTCCCTGCCCGGGAGCGCTGCACATGCGTGGTTCCGCCCCCTGCGCCGGCCGAGGCGTAGCTGGCAAGTGGCAGAGATGGAGCAGGCCGACCACCAGCTGGCCCAGCCCAAGGGACCCGCCGGAAAAGGGGGAAAAAATGACGGACAAAAAAAAATGGCGGACAAAAAAAATGGCGGACAGCCTTGCTTGGCGACCCCCGTGAAATGGTCGATCGACCCCAAATGGGGTCCCGACCCACAGGTTGAGAACCACTGCTCTTAGCGCTCACAGGGAGAAAATATATCAGTAGTCCTCAACTTACAAAAAGTTCATTTAGTGACCGTCCAGAGTTACAACGGCACTGAGACAAAGAGACGTAGGACCAGCGTAGCAGCATGCCCCCCCCCCACGGTCAGGTGATCCAAATTCAAACACTTGGCAACTGACTGGTATTTATGACAGTTGCGGCGTCCCTGCGGGTCACGTGACTCCCTTTTGCGACCATCTGACAGGCAGAATCCGTGGGGGAAAGCCAGATTCGCTTAACGATTGTATGTGACTCGCTTAGCGAACCGTGGCCAGGAAGGTCCTAAAACGGGGATTTTTTCGGTCTCTGCAGAAGCCAGGAATCTCCTGCTTACGCTCCTGGGCAGCCTGTCCGCCCGATGCCCGGCCGAGTTTCAAACAGCCCTCCTGACAAACCCTCCAGAAGTCTGCACTTCGATCCAGGCGGCCATCGGCTCCGCTTGAAACGGCCAGGAAGGGGGCGCTCTCCTCCCAGCTTCCGCGAACTTCCGAGGCCAAGCCAGCCAGCGGTGGTTGTGCAAAGAGCCCCACGTTCTTCTTTGCAGACCAGGATCCGTCCGTCCATCGTCGGTTTTGACCCACCCAACTTTCAGCATCTGCGCCCGATCCAAAGGCAAACTCCGGCGTTCCGAATTGCAGCTGGGCGGCTGTGTTTGTGTTGCAAGGGGGGGGGGATCAAGCTATTGTTTGATATTTTTTCAACAGTTAAGCTCTTTCTCCTCCTCCTCTTCTCCTCCTCCTCCTCCTCTTCTCCTCCTCTTCCTCCTCTTTTTTTCATTTTCATTGTAAAAATCCCGCTCCGTATATTCCTGAGGCTGGTTGCAAAAACAATTGCTCAACAACGTCTGCCAAGGGAATTTGAAACATCTGGATTTCCTTTTCGCAGTTTTCCATCGGACTGTCCCGCCACACAACTTTGTGAGCCTGGGGGACAAAAAAACCCCCCGCACACGACCTGTTTTTGCTTCCAAAGGAAGTTTCTTTTTAACTCGCCCCGGAGAATAAATCCGCCACGCGGTGAGATTTGAGGTTGGGTATAATTTTATTTTTTTTTTACCGGCGAGGGAATTTGCTTTGGTGCAAACATCCCAGGCTTTCAAAAATGCACTTTAGGCCAAAATATATATATATATATAAAAAAGCAGCCTGCAGAACTGCAGAAGTGGTAACTCGTTTGCCGTTCCAGGAAGACCGACGTTAAGATTTGGTGACTCGCTGAGTTGTCAACCACACACATTGTTGGCTGGCACCTTCCCAAAGTGTGGCTCCTGGCGTGGTTTGAGATCCGTTTTGATCTGTTTCGTTCTGTGTCAGCACTAGCGGGCGTCCGCGCCCTGATGCAAGAACACAAACCGCTTCTTGTGCGCCAGAGACACACAACGGCTGCGTGTTCGTAGCCGCTGCTCAATCAACCACTTTGCCTTGTTTGTGAATAGCAGTTCCTTTTTTCTTTCTTTCTTTTTTTTACAGTTATCACAACTATTATTCTGTTGATATTTTTTTTTGTGCGTGTTGCCAAAAAAAGAAAGAAAGAAAGAAAGCCGGGGACTTTGTCCGTCGCTCCGGGCAAAGTTTTCTCGGACCTTGACCGCCCCACGTTGTTTGGCAAGGGGTCAGACTTGATGTGCACAAAGTTCATTAGCAGTTGTTATTTTTGCTAAAATGTGGTTTTCTACGGGGTTTTTTTTTGGTTTTCCTAAGCTGGATTCCTGTCACAAATCAGCTCCGCTGTTGGTCACTGGTATTTAAGATTTTAACTTACTGGTTTGGCCTTTTTTTTGGGGGGGGGAGCAAAGATTAAAAAGTATACTGTATGCAGTACCATGTAATAAAATTAAACACTTGTTTCTCTGAAAGCGGCTTCCCGTAACGTTTCTGCACATTGCAAAGAGGGTAAGAGCCCCGAAAGGCTTAGCAGGGGATTTGTTAAGATCCCTCATCTAAATAATTCCCTTTTTCCCCCCTAGCAGACAGTTGCCAGATTAAAAAGTGAGCAGAAAGGCAGCCAAATTGCATGTGTTAGAGTGGGGGGTCTTTAAACTCGGCCCTTTGATGACTTGTGGACTTCAACTCCCAGAATTCCTCAGCCAGACACTGCTGGGAGTTGAAGTCCACAAGTCATCAAAGGGTCATAGTTCCCTCACGCTGGCTGAGGAATTCTGGGAGTTGAAGTCCACAAGTCATCAAAGGCTCATAGTTACCTCACACGCTGGCTGAGGAATTCTGGGAGTTGAAGTCCACAAGTCATCAAAGGCTCATAGTTACCTCACACGCTGGCTGAGGAATTCTGGGAGTTGAAGTCCACAAGTCATCAAAGGCTCATAGTTACCTCACACGCTGGCTGAGGAATTCTAGGAGTTGAAGTCCACCAGTCATAAAAGGGCCAAATTTGAAGAGCCCTGCTTGTGGACCAACTCCCAGAATTCCTCAGCCAGGCATGCTGGCTGAAGAATTCTGGGAGTTGAAGTCCACAAGTCATAAAAGGGCTGAGTTTGAAGACCCCTGTGTTAGAAAAATCTACAAAGAAATCTAGAACAGTTAACCAAGTCTCAGCTGACTGAAGTTGCTCTCATAAAGGGCTAACAAAGATCAGACTTTTGTATTTTGTATTTTTAGTAGGCTTTTTCTCACGCCTTTATGAGTTTATAAATAATTCAAGGGGGTGAACGTGCCTATTTCCTCCTCCTGTTTTCCCCACAACATCCCTGTGAGGTGGGTTGGGCTGAGAGACACTGACTGACTTCAAGTTACCCAGCCGGCTTTCGTGTCTAAGGCAGGACTAGAACTCACCGCCTCCTGGTGATTGGCCCAAAGTCACCTCAGCCGACTTTCATGGCTAAGGCAGGACTAGAACTCACCCTCTCCTGGTGATTGGCCCAAAGTCACCCAGCCGGCTTTCGTGTCTAAGGTAGGACTAGAACTCACCGCCTCTTGGTGACTGGCCCAAAGTCAGCCCAGCTGGCTTTCATGGCTAAGGCAGGACTAGAACTCGCCTCCTGGTAATTGGCCAAAAGTCACCCAGCTGGCTTTCACATCTAAGGCAAGACTAGAAGTCACCGTCTCCTGGTGGTTGACCCAAAATTATATATACATAGATATAGATATATATATAAAATAATCTATGCTGGAAATTCAAAACGACAAATCTCCGCTCGCAATTTAAAACCCAACAGATTTATTTACAAAAAGAAGGGGAAACGCAAAGAACCAGAATCTGAAAAAATACATTGGTTTAATCCAAAATGTCACCTGAAACACCAAATTGGGTCTTCTCGGCAAGGCTGAATCTTCACCAAGGAGGCAGCTTTGTTTTGGGGTGGTTTTTTTTGGGGTGGGGGGAAGAAGGGACCATGTCAGAATGACGAAGCTCCCACCCCCTTGTTGACGAGCTAGCCAAGATCCACGTCCGAATCCGCTAACTGTGAGGGAAACGCGCTCCTGGCTTAATGATGATCGGACCGTAAGCCTCCTTTTGTTCCAAGCACAGGA